TTCTTTCTGCATGTGCCCATTCTTGCACAATGATAGCAGGCACTCCTCTTTCTGATTCTAAATCCTCCCTCCATTTGTTACAAGAGATTGTGAGGTGCATGAATAATGATATTTTCTTAATGTCTCTTCACTCAAGCTACTTATGCGTTGACTCATAGTCACTTTCTCTTTTTAATGTTGAATTGTGTAATGAGGTCACCAAGGCCTGCCAATTTTCCAACAGGTGACTCAGCAGTAATAGAGCTTGCAACTCATCATTTAGGTCATCTTCATTGTTGCGAGTCTGTTGATGATGCATTACATTTCATTAAGTTCTCTGCAAAGGAGCCTCTATCCCTAAACTTTAGGTTCACCAACTTCTGAAATAAAAATACCTCGTTTCAAGCTCTTTTTTTTCTCTCGCACAAGTCATGTAGCATCTTTCTCTCAATGACTTGGCATACGTTTCACTTGATACATTGTGAGAAACAACATCATCTAACATTTGTCAAATAGATCTAATTACTGCTTTATCCAACTTCTTTCAATCTTTATCTATCGCACATTCTAACTCGTTCTTGCCTGGACATATTAAAATTCCTTGAAGTAAAGGAGATCTTCTATCTTGGATTTGCATATTATCTAATTGTTATCATTGAGCAAAATCATTCTGCTGGTAGTATTGGAAATCATTGTGTGATATACACACAGAGGCAAAACATTTATCAATTAGAAAAAAATGGTCACGGTGTCCACTAACAATACAAAACTGACAATATAACAATGACTGTATTGGAGGTCCATCATTAACTCATCAGTGGTCCAACAACCGACAATTTCGGAATTCCCAGCATTTTGTAAGTTACTGCCAATGATCGGATGACTGACAGTTTAACAAAGGCAAGGGAAGCCAGCTCTGATACTACATTTTCCTCTTACTGTGACACGAAAGGTTATCTTTAAGTTTATATTCTAGATAGGATCAAATAGGCTTCTAAAAATGATCTATTTGGATAAGAATCAATTGATCTTGATTAGAATTGATGGGTGACTGATCTGAGTCTATGGAACCCTCTACATTGCCTGAATCCTACTATTGTTAATTTTTCTTTTATTATTATTTTGCTTCTTTTTTTATTTGACTTTGGAGATCAACCGGTCCATATCGAAATCAGGATACAAATTGGACTACTATGTGACTCAAGTCGGCGATCTGATCTAGATTTTAAAATACTGGTTACAAACGAAACATATTACTTAATATCATTAAGATTTCAGCTAGCAGTATATCCTCTTGAGATCGGACAGCAAAAGGAGACCAAACCGAAATGCTAGCTTGGTATAAAACCTAATTCGATAATATCCATAACCTTTTCATTTGGTATGACAATTTTGTCAGTAATAATGCGTGTTAGCAATGGCTTCTATTTTCCTTTAAGAATGTTAACCTCCTTAGCTCTAAATCCTGTATGAGGAAAAAAAGGATGCAATACAAGTAATGTGCAGTATATGTCACACTTGTTAGGGGCGAGAACGGATCAGATCGGGGTTGGATCCGACCAGATCCGCATTTGGACCTGAATGGTACACATCAAATCTGGGTTCAAACCGGATCTTGGATATTTGGATTCAAATCCGGATCTGAATAGTATATATCGGATTCAAATCCGGATTATATATAAATAAAAATTTACTATTTAAAAGAAAACGGGTTGGATCGGGATCTGGATCTGGGTCGGATCCACCTACACTTGGATCCAATCCGGATTTCAACTCGGATCTGATTTGGGTTTGCATCCAAATTTCATATCCAAATTTTGGCTCCATACCTGATCCGAATAGGATCTGAAATCCTGGTTTTGGATCCGGATCAGGTCAATTCTCACCTTGTGATCATATCCATGACTAGCAATCACCCACAGTGCATTCCTGATAATGGAAGGTGAAGATTAATTCCGGTTTCCCAATAGCGAGCGTCCACGTGGACAAGATTAATTTGACCGTCCATCATTGGAAACGGATGGTGGATGTCACGATGGTGTGTGATAGGCAGAATGATCAGATGTATAGTATCCAATGTCAGCTCATATGAGAAAGTGCAATTAAACGGTTACAAAATCAAGTACAGGTAGGTACTTTAATCCCTCTTTTTGTTTGGAACGTTTGGCGTCCATTTGTTCATTTAAAGGCTGAAGAAAAGGAGAATAACACAATGTAACTTTTAAACCACCATCATTATTACATATGGAACCACAGAGAGGAAACCAGCCAAAAGATTTGCTCCCCTTCGTTATTTGCCTTGTAAATGTCAATAATGAAGCTTACCCAAAAGCACATGCTCTCTCGCTCCTCTAGCTGGGATTTTTTATTTCATTTTTTGGTAATTTAGTGGGATAGACCGGCCTTATCCATTTATTCAAATAATTTAAGAGTTAGATTTTTTAAAGTGTAAGTAGGGGTTTTAGTTATAACACCCTTCAACCCTAATCACCACGATATGATTTTCATTCTCACTATAGTTGGTGAACCATCTTCATTACCTTTTAATGTAAACAAAGGAAATCGTTATCAAGGCATAATATTATGACATGACTTGTAGAGAATCTCTCTCTCACGCACACACATGCACCCACACAATAACGAAATGGTAGTAATTCCTTTTAGCCAAATCAAATTTGTAAATTTTTTCACCATGTTAACGGTAGAAATGGAGCCTAGACATTGACCCCTAACCACCAATGTACCAACCCCATTCCCAAATTTGTAAATATTTTCTAGTCCTCACTTATTACCATGTGGACATGAATGCTAATAAAAGGACCCTTATATCTGTCTTTCTCTTCATTAGTAAGTTGGGTGAGACTAAGGGCTCCCTAACAAATGTCCCCCATTTAATGCTAGGAATCACCGACAAAGTACACTATTTTTAGAGTTTGAAATCGTAATTTTTTTTCACAATCATAATGTTCAAATTAGGATGATCAATGTAAAGGCTTTCCAATGCCGGAATTGTAATTTTGGATGAGTTATAAGATGAGGCTTTACTTACTTTGGTAGGGCTGTAGCCGTATCAAACCAATTTCCATAGAACAATCGTTTCATGCAGGCTGGACAGCATTTTTACAATATACGGTCCAAGGTATAAAGCATCTATCTTAAAGATAATGCAATTAGGTGGTCCATCTAAAAACAGTTGTAACTAACCGTCAAAATGTTTTCTTAATATAATTATTATTTCTATTTTTTAAAAAAAAGAAATCATATTCATGATCTCCATCTTAAATATTATATATTCTTATCAAATTACATTTAAAAAATATATGTGTTGCCAAGGATATTTTCCATATCAACGTCGTTATTAACCTCCCTCTCTCTCTCTCTCTCTAAGTTCTTAGACGACCCCTACCCCCCCCCCCAAAAACCAAAACAAAACGAAAAGGGTTCACTTGAATGCCCCCTCTCCTTCCCCATTTTCTATCCAAAATATTAAATATCTATCAGCAACACCTAAACTCTCTTCATTTGATTGAAAAAACCATATTTCTTTCTCTCTAGGCATTGTCTGTATGTAACTTAGTAATTAAGCAAATAAGAATGACTTGGGCATGCTGTTTGCAAAATTGAATGAGAGATGCAAGAAGACAGAGATGCTTGACGTGCATAATAAAGTAATGATAGGAGAAAGCATCAAAGTAAAGGAGCTATTGCTTTTTCAACGTGTGTACAGGAAGCGTTTGAGAATGGCCGCTTAAAGTAAAGGCAAAAGAAGCATAAAATAAGGCCCCATCAAATCCTCTTCCTAAAACCAAACAAGAAAACACTTCAATATTTTCCATTTCCACGTTCTCATGGAGAAAAAGGCGGGTCCTTCTTGTAGCCCGGCTGTTGTGGGCGGTCCCACTAAGAATCTATATACATCTTCTGGTGGAAAAAAAACCAAATGGTGGGTCACCTTGGTGCCTCATTTTTCTATTCACCGGACACAGCCCTATGGCCGAAGAAAATATATATTCAAAACCGGTTCGACGTTGGGATCATTGAATAGAGGGGCAAATTGAAAAAAAAAAAAAATTAAAAAAATGTAGAAGGCAAACCTTTTGTGTAATTTTAAAAAAAAAAATTAAACTATTTTGTATTCTTATATTATTTAATATCCAACTGTAAATTACTCTTTTCCTTGTCATATAGTCGCATCTCACTAGCATAATTAAAAAGAGAAACTTATTTTTGTTATTGACGGAGACTCAGTAAATGTCATTATCTTGAGTAAGAGAAATGCATATATTCATTAGAGATTAAGAACTATTTTTTTATCAAATTTAAGATATTTTGTCAAATCTATGGCAACAGTACAACTTTCTTATAAAGAGGTGAATGAAGATGTCGATGTTTTTGCGAAAGGAGGGTCCATACTCCCTCTTTATTAGTTCCTTCATTTATGTAATCTTGTGTCTTTGTTTGAACTTTTTGCATTTTACATTTAAATTAATAATAAATCGTACAATTCAGTTCAAAAAATAGAAGAGAATTATTTTTGTTGACTGAGAGAGCGGCAGAGTTGCGATAATTTTGTGGGTTGGAGGAGAGGGTTGTTAGGATGAGGTAGAAAGATTGCTTACTTTTAGAGAGAGAGAGAGAGGGAGCGGTCAGCTAATTTTGCAGAAAGAGGGCACAGATCCACCAGGATTTTGTCAAACTTTTGGAACTGGGAATCCTATACAACACCCCAAATCAAATTTCATTTATTTCAAAAATTAAATAACAGGTTTTTATAAATTTTTGTGTCTTTTTTTAAGAAAAAAGATTCCTAAACAGCGTGTCGGCCTTTGACAAAACCGTACCAACTCTTAAATAAATTTTGCCCCAAACCTTAATAACAATAAATTTAAATCTTATTAAAAAAGACTCCAAAAAACCAAAGATTACCTCCACATGTCCAGTACAGAGTGGGCCCGAGGAGAAGGATGGTGGGGAATGGCGAATGCTTACCTGAGCACAAAAAGAAGGTTCCCCTCTGCCCACACGCCACGGACATTCACTTCCAGACAGTGAAGAGAGAGAAAGTGAAATTGCAGTAGAGCTCTCCACAAGATTCGCCTCTACTTCCTCTTCACTGTGCCTGTGTTGAGAGAGAAGGAGATGAATATGCAGAGCATCCACATGAAAACCACTCTTGAATTTGTCCTCTCACTTATCTTCCCCTGCAAATTTCCAATTTAGAGAGAGTGATCTCAATTTGCAGAGGTTCAAGAAATCTGTCTCTAAAAATTCCTCCTCTTCAAGTTCCCATCCACATTACACAGAGGGCAGAGAGAGAGAGAGAGAGAGAGAGAGAGCTGAATTCATACCCCACCCATGATGAGAACGCCCCTCCACCACCTCCTCCTCTGCCTCACCTTCCTCTGCATAGTTCCATCCACCCACCTCTCCCCAACACAAAATGCCAGCGGACGGAAAGCCCGAATCCTTCACCAACCACTCTTCCCTATCTCTCCTCCCCCTTCCCCCCCTCCTCCCCCTCCAACCGAACAAACTCCTTCCACCTCAGAGCCCTTCTTCCCTTTAGTTCCCCCCTCTGTTCCCCACCAAGACCCGGCCCAAACTGTCACAATTCCGGCCAATATCTCCAGCCTAAATTCACCTCAAAACCATGCCGGAAAGCAACCAAACGCCACTCCCAAAATAGTAATGGCGGTCTCCATCTCTCTGTCCGCGTTTTTCGCTCTCTTGGCCCTCGCCTTCTTCCAGTACCATCGTCGCAAAAGCAAACCACCAGATTCAGAGAAGCTGTTTTCTAGAGAGCCAAATGCCAGATCTGAAAATTCAGGCCATTTTCGAGCTCCAAGTGTGTCGGATTTGCTCTATCTGGGAACAGTTGAGCCTTCAAATCAGACGAACATTACATCAAATTCGAATCAGAGGACCACCACATCCATCCGGTCACCTTATCATAAGTTGAGCGGGTCGAATATCCGGCAAAATGGGTCAGATTTCTATAGGCCAAGCCCTGAATTGCAACCAATGCCACCCCTGAAACAAAAATGTGAATCAGATTTCCGGCCACGACAAGTGTCACCACCAGTGGTGTCATCAGAGGAGGAAGAAGAGTCCGAGTCATTCTATTCACCCAGGGAGTCTTCCACTGGGACCCATGAGAGCCCCTCGGGAGGACGTATTTTTACAGCTCCTGCCCATGCCTCCACCAAAAGAGTGATTCATAGCTCTCCATCAAAACCTCCACCAACTCCATCTCCGCCGCGGCCTCCAACTCAACCTTCGTTACCACCAAAACCTTTGCCAACTCAATCCTTGCAATCTCAGCCTGTCGAAGTACCGCTGGTTCCACCCCCAAAGTTCCAGCAGCCAAAGACACCATCTCCTCCAAAACGGAAACCAAAATTATCGTCTCCACCAACACCACCGCAGACTAAGCTGTTGTTCCCTTCCATTTCAACACTTGCACCACCAGAATTTGAAGCACCAACAAAAATGGAGGCGCTGACAAAAATAGGGGCTTCTCCAAATATGAAAGAACCCCCAAGAATAGTAGCAAATGTCAAATCACCACCACCTCCACCTCCACCGCCGCCACCACCACCTCCTTGTCCTCCTCCTCCTCCTCCTCCACCACCACATCTGCCAACTTTGGAGGTGAAATCAAGGTTAAATGAGTCATTTTCTCAGCCCATCAAGCTTCAAAGAGAGTCAAGGCCGCGAGCTTTCATGGCTACTTCAAGGCCCACAACTCAGGCTGCGAAACCTGATAGCGCTGGAAAGGAGGGACCTGAGCAATTTGATGTGGTGGAAAATGGGGAGACTCCACGGCCGAGATTGAAGCCTTTACACTGGGACAAAGTTCGAGCGAGTTCGGATCGAGCCATGGTCTGGGATCGATTGAAGCCAAGCTCATTCCAGTAAGGAAAATGCCAAGTATTTTCTTCGTATGGAATTAAATCATTATATTGTTGTTTTGTGCAAATTTAAAAATGAAAAAGTTTAGTGACAGATATTATGATAAAGCCATGCATACAAGTAGCATAGAATCTAGACACAAAATGTACAATATCCTATATGCACAGTTATAAGCATGCATACGAGTAGCCTAATGCTATTCGACTGTCTCAAAACACTACATTCTTGTGTTCCAATTCCATACTTCATTACCCAATGGAGAACTGGGTTTGAGTCTATAGTTCAGCTGGCAAGCAAATGTCATTGTAACCTTAAGGTTTTAGGGTTAAGTTCCAATTCCATGCTTCATTACCCAATGGAGAACTGGGTTTGAGCCTGTAGCTCAGCTGGAAAGCAAATGTCATTGTAACCTTAAGGTTTTAGGGTTAAATTAATTTCACCTAGCAAAGGAAGAACAAAGTAAAATTAAGGGAACAAGAATGGAAAGCAGCCAATGTGAACATCTATGCAGGAATTCGATTGCTGTACAACAAAGTACGAACACGTATTGTAATTAAACAAGCATATGAAAGTCGAAATATATGCTACATAGATGAAAATGATAGAGAAAATAATTAAGGAACTTCTTGAGTTGATGTTTGTTTTTTTTTTTTATTATTTGTATCTTTTCATATCAACACCAGAAATATGAGAATTTGGTCAATTGTTTGCAGATTAAATGAGGACATGATAGAGACATTATTTGTTTGCAATCCTGCAAATAATGTTCCAAAAGATGTTAGCAAGATATCTGTTCCCCCTCTTCTTGGACAGGAGAGCCGAGTACTGGATCCAAAAAAGTCTCAAAACATAGCCATTCTTTTGCGAGCGTTAAATGTGACACGCGAGGAAGTCTGTGAAGCTCTTTTGGAGGGTGAGTCCATTATTTATCTCCACCATATTCTAAGACTTGAACCATTTTGCTTCTTATGCTTCCACACTAGAACCAGATCAAATCAAGATTGCACTCACACCCAAAGACTCGAATTTCTAGCTGTTTGTCATCCTAATGATATTTTCAGTAAGTCTAAATGGCTCACCAAAACAAGCAGCTAAAACACTGCTATTTATCTTCATGGGTAAATTTTCATTATCCGAAACCCCCCCATAAGAGGATTCTTCTTGATGGAGCACAACAAGCATGTTCCTTTAGGCATAACTGATAAACTTCAGCTCAAAGGATCTTATATGTTGAGAAATACTACAAGATCAGTGCTCCTCTGGGTTGATTGATCTCGAAAGAGTGAAATGCATAAAGTATACAACGCTTTACTGTAGTTGGTTATTCACTGGTGAAATTCGCCATTCACCAAAGTATCTCTTTTAGTTCCTCGTCATCCCAAATGATGTCCCAAAGTTCTTTCCCTTGGAGGCAGGCCTTCATGCAAGGCTTTCAGTGCCCAAAATTGGTTGCTCTAACTTCTCCACTTGTAATTAAGATAACAAACCAATTGTCTGTCTCAACAATTTCCACATATTGTTAAGTCATCGTCATCTTCCTTAAGCATCAATGGAAAGAGTATTGTTTTGTCTAGAACTCTTGGTGAAATTTTGTCCATCCCAATGTTTCAAAAAGCGGACTGCCCAATGCCTAGGTGGCCGTCGAGGCGGTTCTGGGGGCCTGGGCACATCGCTCAGGCCTAGACGCTCAAAAAAAGCAGATATCCTAGGGCACCCACCTACGCGCTCGGGAACCCGCCTAGGCGGCCGCCCAGGGCCTGCACCCTACCCAGGGGCAGAAATGCCCCTCGTTGAGAGTATTTTTTGTTCATTTTTTTAATACTAAAGGTGCAAAATTGTGGGTTGTAGGTTCATTTGAAACCTAAAACCCATTAGAGCCTATTTTAGAGAGAGAAAACCCCAAAACAAAAATTCCTACTAGGCCGCCCAGGTTCTGGGTGCCTGCTTAGGCGCTAGGCGGCCTGAATCCCCCGGACCGCCTAGGTGCCGCCTAACGTTTTTTGAGACATTGGTCCATCCCTAGTTTGTTTGTTTTGGGAAGGGACGTTTGTATATAGGTGTGGACAAAAAGGTAGTTATCAAGTAAAAATTAATATATATATATATATATATATGAAAGAGACTACAAAACGTCTATGGACGAAAATGAACAGTATTTTCGCCCATAGGTTTGGTGCCGTCCGATTTTTCGGACGACATGGATTAAAGACCGTCACAGACATAGCATGTCCATTGCGGTCCATCACGGACATATCAAGTCCATGATGAGATTTGTATGGGGACCGCCATGGCTCCCGTAGGTCCGTGGTAGTTTTTAGGCAAAATCGTCACGGACATAGCATGTCTGTGATGGAGTGAAACACTGTAGCAATTCACCTATAGGCGTTTTTAA